ATGTATCTGATTGACGACTAGCCTTAATCGAAAGTTCTCTCTAGTGATCGGGAGGGGTAATTAACTATAGGGGCTTGCGCCTATAGGAAACCAGAACTCAGATCATAAAGTCCTCACAAACTGAGGGCGAAATCTCTGGGTAGTGTCTTATCTACAAACCCATCTGCCTTCCAAAATTTACCCCGGAACTTAGTTCGTTAAAACTCCCTCGCCAAATAAAAAAAGAAAAGCGAGTGGAGGCCGGGGCCGAATTTTTGGAGCCCACACATTTATTAGTGAATTCTTATTATTATAGATATTTAATGCCTAATATGCATGGAACTTAGTTCGTTAAAACTCCCTCGCCAAATAAAAAAAGAAAAGCGAGTGGAGGCCGGGGCCGAATTTTTGGAGCCCACACATTTATTAGTGAATTCTTATTATTATAGATATTTAAGGCCTAATATGAATGTATTAAAACAAATATATCGGTTGCCACCACCTTATATTTGTTTGATGGTTCGAATCCTGTCGACTCCTATTGATCCGTATAGAAGGATCGGGTTCGAACTTGAATTCACTTATTAACCCGCGCAGCATCCCTAGGCGTCATGTGTGTACCAATAACACTCTCACCGGGGCCCATGCGGGCGTTATAATTGTATTTACCCATCATGTGTACCTATGTGTATACATATTAAGGTGCATGTGCAAAGAGGCATTTTTGAATGTTAATCATTAATCATCTAAGTGTGATGATCTGCTTGGAAGCTCATATACGCTTTCTGTCCTCTTGCATGAATGTCACGGAACCGGTGGCGGGCTGTAGCAGCATTTGGATCAAGTTATTTGCTGCTTTGTACAGGTAGACTGTCGTGCACTACTTATATAATTTATGCAGATAGATTTAGTGCACTAACGAATTTCTTAGTTATGCATGTAGATAATTGTATCCACCACAGACATGACACCCTTGTTTGTGGTCGAATTGCTTTACATACAAATCTTTTAGTGCTGGTCACATGCATTTGTATTTATAATATTATTCTATACTTTGCTTGTGGTTGACATACCAGTATACAATGAATTTTCTATGATAGCTCGTAGGTGACACTTTTTCAGTGATTTGACGTGATGTACATACTCTAATTAGGGGTCGTACAACCCGTGACACATAAGAGCGCTATTTTGTTGCTTTTTGAAGACATATGTTCATGGGCTGTACGAGCCTCCTAACTTTAACAGCTCACGTGCATGTTATTTAGAGCACCCGTGACTTGCAATGTGACAGACTTTTTTTAATCTTATCACAAATGGTTCAATAAAAAAAAATTATCGGGGATGTGCGAGAATTCCTACATGTTTATAATGAACACAAGCATTTTGTAGGAAAGATAATTTTTTTTACTTTTACTTTTACCCCCCCCCTTTTTTTAAATAATTACCAACCGTATTCATGTATATTTACTCTCATATTTTACCTGCTGGTGAATACTCTAAAAGGAATCCAAGGCTAGCCTCGAAATAATATCTTATGATTCTAAGCTGGTGGGGCTCGCAGGTGTACCTTCCCTATCTGTAGCAAAGAGATCCTAGGCTGGTGGGGCTTACAGGTGTACCTTCCCTATCTTGTAGCAAGGGGATCCTAGGCTGGTGGGGCCCGCGAATAATTCAAGTTCAATGTTATAAATATGAAGGGTTTCAATTCATTTCTTCCCATCCCATTTCTGTA